CTGCGGCCTACAAAGTCCTAGCCATTACGTAAATGAAGGACAGGACACGGTCAAACCGAAGTCAGGACTTGCAGACGTAGATGGCCCTCTGACGAAACCACCGGAAGAGGAAGCAGGTTCACCAGCATCCTCTACCGTGGAGACGAAGCAGAACACCAACTGCCGCCACGCCAAGCCAAAAATCCCCAAGCAAGGCCAAACAGTGACCGGAGAAAAATCGATCAGCCCAAGGCCAACACGTACAGCCGCAACTTTAAACTCGCTGATCGATAAAGTCAGCATTTGCTTCGACAAAGGACAGCCGGCCCAGCTGTCCGAAAAATCAGCAAATCAACAAATTTATTACTGTGAGCAGAAGATGAACTCTAATTCTTACCCCGGAACTCTGACTTTTTTTCAAATTTCAACACTAATTTTTCACGCAAAAGGAGGTGGATGATTCGAGTCGCAGACGCATGAGAGTACCACAAAGACCGCATTGAGCAGGAGTTATTGCAGTCCGACTCTCCTCCCTGGCGACCTTCCATGCCAAGGCTTTTAGCATTTCCCTATAAATTCAGGCTCGCCAGAGGAGCATGTGTTGCATGCCGTCAACCTCAAACTATCTTTCCTCTCCCAGGCACCAGTCCAGAATCCGGGCCCGTCTATAAACTGCCGATAAGAGAGGGTGGTAAAAGGTCAATTTAGGCTTCCAAATAGCACGAGAAAAGCTCATCCTTCTGTAGTAGGGGATAGGTGACAGCAGGGGTTAAATGTGTGGGGCCTATCAGGAGAAAGACAAAAAAGTTTAAAAATTAGAAAGTATAAACGTAGAAAATAATAGGAATAAGTATTTAACTAACCAAATAACCGAATATTTGTGCGCGATAATTAAAATGACAAAATAGTGCCCAATTGAACACAATCGTCGACCCCATATCATCTTTATATCTATAGATTTGACAGAAATAACTCCTTAGCTGCAGTCATCGACTTTCTCAACACTTAATCGTCTCTATAGCGTAGCTATATAGAGTTGATGTGGAGTCGACGATTGTATCCTATTGGGCACTGTTGAGCCATTTTAATTATCAGGCGTGAATATTCGGTTATTAAAATAAGCTGTTACGGACCCTAAATTAAACTTTCACCAAGAGAGGGCTAATGGCTGACCAAGTAAAGCGGGTCGTCAACGCATGCAGCACATGGTCTGGTCCTCCAATATCATGCGTCAAGCTGCTCCAAGCTCAGTCACGGCAATAAAACTTTCATGCCGTGAAAAATAATTACCATTAATCTTGCTACTATAAATAAGACAGTAATGACAGTCTGTCTAATGAAACACTGGTGAAAACTAAGGTTCTGCTTTGGATCATCTCCACTTTTGCATCATACTGTCAGGGATTCGTGATGCTTCTGCGAACTCCTTGAGGAAGAGTGTCAAAATTCCCTACAAGTATTGACTTTCCTCCACAATGATGTATTACCTAAGTCCTGGCTGTATAGATTAAGGTTACTCTAACGGAGGATATTGTCGGTAAAGACAAGGGAGACTAGAATGATCATTCATCGCTTATTAGCCGTCCTAAGCCAGTCACACCCAGTCGGAAGCGGTTCACCACCCGAGGCTCTTACGCCAGAAAGCCAGAAAATTGGTTTACAGTGTGTTTTTACAAATCTGATGACTTTTCATATCTCGACTGTTTGGGTTCAACATTTAAGCATTTAAGAATTCAAGTGTGGCGAATGTTTGCCCTCGATTATGCACCATTGAGTTTTTACAGAAATATGAACGAGAGTATAACACCAAAAGTCTACACATCCAATGAAAATTAAGTAGGGGAAAAGGTCGGAGGTTATAGTCAGGGGTTATCGTCTAGTCCTATTGGGACTGAGTGAGGGGGGATGGGAAAGGAGTGTCTGACAGTCAGGTGCGTTTCGGTTTCGTCACTGTAACGGGGCGTGACAGGTGTTAGTTCTGAACGCCCTAAACCCTCTCCCTCCGACTTACTATTTATTGGATTTTCAAACTTTTTTTACTATGCCATCCCCTTACACTACTGTAAAGGGCTGATGATAAACATTTCTTATATGGAACAGTTTGTAGTTTACTATACATAACTACCTACTTATTTCGTTATAGTAAGCCTGTTCTGTTTTATTTTTCATTAAATCGTAGGTTTTAGTGCTTTTATAAACTACATTTATACGGTCTTTCTTGCGTGTGGGTACTTTCAGTTTTACTAATTAATGTTTAGTTTTTTGTCTACTCACTTAAGTTTAGTTTCCTTCGTTTAGTTTCCTTCGTTTAGTTTCCTTCGTTTAGTTTCCTCTTACTTTCATTAACTATCAATTTCTATTGGTTTCGGTTTAGTATTCAGATAAGTTAGTTTGCTTTCGTTTATCTTTCTTTAGTAAACTTGCTTTGATTCTCAGTTAAGTTTTAGTTAGGTTTTTAGTTTTTAACTTAAATTTACTATTTTGTTCTTTTGGTTTTGGTCTACTATTCGATTTACTTCTTTTGTCCTATTTTACCTTACTTTAGTAAACTTATTTTGTTTTTAGTTCAGTTGTAGTCCAGTTTTTGAATTATTGTTTTGGTTTTTTTAGTTTTATTTTTGTGCAGATTACTTCTTAGTTTATTTAGCTTAGTTTACTTAAGTTTATCTTAGTTAAGTTAGTTTGGCTTCGTTTTATTGGTGACATGCGGTCGCTATTTGGCTTAAAAACGGAAACTCCTATCTTTCCTGGTTTTAGTTTAATCTCGAAAATCGTTTGTATTGACTGCATTTCACATTTTAATTATCGTGCACTTTTTATTGCCAAACATGATGTGGTTAAATAATTCTGACTGTTAACTTCTTTTATTCACTTTAACTATTTTACTTACTTTTCCTTCGCTTGATATGCCTACCCATAAAACCCTAGTACCAACAGTCCCGTAAGAGAGACACCTTGGGTTTCTTGTTACTGACCTAGTCCGTATAAGGACTCTTTGCCGGCCCGATGATAAGTAAAGGGAAGCGTAGTTTCGCCAAACTTGACTTCTTAAATATCTCGATTGGTTTAATTTATAGCAACCTTTGGCCCGATCAATAACTCTCCGCACCTATCTTATGGTTAGAAAAAATCGTCTACTTGGTCAATGCTACGTACCACTATATTCTGCTTCAACGTCCAGTACTCGTCACCAATTTTCGCCTGTAAAACGAAGACCGTTCGGGTGTCCAGAATTGGTACATCCAGGGCAGTGTAGTCGGCCTTGTTCTTCTCGTGCTTCACGGATTTCTTCTTATTTGGTTTTTCTGCGCCTGTGGAATAAAACAAGGGCTGTTACTCCTTCTGTAAAAAGACTTCTACATAACCGTATAAAAGATATTTCCTTTTAATAGGTCAAAACCTAGACAGCATGAGGAGGCACATAGCACATCAAAGTAAGTACAGTAGTCGCCGGCTATTAAGCCCACCTCGGTCCCAGAGCAAATTGGGCTTAATAAGCGGCGGGCGCATTAACCGGAGAGTCCCAGTTCTTGATTAGCAAAAGCGGGATAGGCACTGTACATTGCATACGTACTGTATTATGCGTAGAGCTTGGTTATGTACAAGAAAGAATGCTGTTTGTCTGTATTTTACGTAAATAACAAAAACAAAAAAATGATTTGCTACACGTTTGAAGAAGCGGTCTTGTGTCAGTTGTATTGGAGGAAACTTCAATCGCAAGTGCTCTTTGGTGCCCTTCTCCAGGCACCAGAAATCGTCGAATTTTGTGAATTCAACCAGTTGCGCATGCAGAAAGATAAGAATCTCACTCTTTCCTGTTGGCAAACTGGGCTTTGTAGCCGGCGACTGGG